AGCAAAATGCAAATCGCGCGACAAACGCGCGATTTGCGAACCGCTCAATGTGAACGGGGCCTTATAGCGGGAGACTTCCGCAGCGTCCAGGAGAGTTGAGATGTCTGAAAGAATTACAACTGGGCAATTTGTATGATGTTATCTGCAGAACACCTATAAAACACTGCAAAACCGATTACTAATATATAAAAAGTAGTCAACAGCAATAATATATTATATACTCCAAACGTGTGAAAGGGTATTTATCTGTGTTGCAAGCAATCAGAGTTATACTCAAGTCAACTGTCACCCGCTGTTGTATTCACTTCCACTTTGCCATAACTAATTGACTTTACATCTGCTTTAAGGCAGTGCAAAGAGCAATGATGGAGTAACTCAGAGCAACAAATCACATCTTATCTTCAGTTTAGTGTGATTAAACCAATAAAGGATGATTGTTGTGTGGTTGCTAAGGGTTACTGTACTTTTCATATTGATCTATGCCAGGGGAAGGTAACTTTGGCACTCCAGATGTAGTAAAACTACAAATTCCATGAGGCATGGCAAGACTCTTCAAGCCACAGGCATGACTCCCAGAGGCAGGGGTATGATGGGATTTGTGCCAAGGTTCCCTACCCCTGCTCTATGCCTTAAGGTTCAGCAAAGCTTTTTTGCTGTCATAAACACACTGACAATGATGCAGAATAAAACCAGACTGTCATTAAAGTACCCTGTGAAATGAGTCAAATAGTCAATATCATTCTTACACTAAGAGGGTGAATAATACATTGTTTGCATGGCCAACAGTTATCCAAACAACATTTGCAGGCATTAAGCTGGCTAGGTGGAATTTCCTATGCTCCATGGTTCTATCTAGTGGCAAACAAATATGCTGTGAATCCTATTCGCATAGCTGCTCGCTATGCAAACAGTTTATAAATCACCCTCTTAATGTGTATGTAAAACTTGCATTGAACGTCACCTAATTGCTTCCTTTTGTTTTGGTCTGGTAAATATACCACTAAAAATGTTTTCTTATATCTGTTCGATAAGTGCAAAAAAAAATCCTACATAACTACATATGACTACATAACAATTCCCTTATGCTGGT